TAAATGGTTGTTTAATGAATTAATGATTCTGAGAAATTCTTTAACCTTGGTAGTTATTTTTGAAGACTTCTTTTTAATGTAATGTTTATTTTACTTTTTAAAAAAATTGATAAGCATTGAGTTTTTCTCTCCTTCCTTCCCCCATGGGAAAAAAAGAGAGGAAAAAAACCTTGTAATATGCATAGTAGAGTACCACATACACTGGTCATATACAAAAATTTGTATCATTCTGCAGCCTGGATCCATCATCTCTCTCTCAGAAGGCGGGTAGGATACTTCATCATTAGTTCTCTGGGATAGTAGTTGGTCATTGTATTGATCAGAGTTCTTAAGTCTTTTGTGGTTGTTTATCTTTACACTGTTGTTGCTGCTGTATAAATTATTCTCTTAGTTATGTTCACTTCACATAAATCTTCTTAGGTTTCTCTGAAACCATCCCTTCTGATATTTCTTATAGTTACAATAACTGTATTTATATGTAACAATAGTTACATTTATATACCATAATTTGTTTAGCCATTGTTTAATTGATGAACACCCCCTTAGTTTCTGATTCTTTGTCACTCCAAAAGGAGCTCTTATAAATATATTTGTACCTATGGGTCCTTTTCTTTATTTTTTGAACCATTTGTGGCTGTAGGCTTAGTAGGAATATTGCCGAGTCAAAGGGCATGCACAATTTAGTGACTTTTGGGTCATAGTTCCAAACTGCTATCTAGAGTAACCAAGCCAATTCATAGCTCCATCATCAGTACATTAATGTGCCAGTTTTCCTGAAGCCCTTCCAACTGTCATTTTCCATTTTTAGCATCTTTGTCAATCTGATGTATGTGTGGTGGAATCTTTTGGTGTAATCACTGTCCAACATCCTCAAGGCAGGTGTTGTTTAGCTCCTGTTATGTAAATATCTTTCCTATGCAACCCTAGTTATAAATTGTGAGGAATTATAAACAAGATGTACCTTTAAGAATCCATACCAAGATGAGGAAATTAGGGCAACTGATAATAATAAAATGAAGAATATGGAGATAAATTTTTGGACAGTTCTCAATTTTGTTTTGTACCATCATTCAGGTTATTAGCAAATTATCTCTCTGTACTCTGGATGGAATATGCTGTTTCTTTTTATAATTGTTATTAACTGTGCTTTATCTTTCTAGTGAAGCTAGGGAAAAGTGGCTCAAAAAGATTACTAATACAGTTTAACATTTGCTTTCAGCCAGTGTGAGAGTGTAGTCAAGTAAGGTTAAGGTTTTCAGCCGTGTTTTCTCTTCTCACTAGCATTCTTCCTTTGTTAGGATTCTCCAAGACAATAAGCAGTAAAGTTCATGAATTTGAAGTCAAGAAATATTCTTCTATGAGGTAGTTATAGCTCAATGGCTGCTTGGCCAGCCATCCCAAAGAAGTGATTTTACTGCTAAATCACTATGGAATCAAACCACCTTTGTAGTCCAGGCCTAGCCATACTTAATTCTCTGCCATCAAGACCTATGCTTTCCAACACAGCCCAAGCAGAGACCACAACTCAGTGCTGACAGAGAGAAGAGCAACAGTGCAGGACTCCCACGATAGGCACTTGGTAAATATTTGTTGAATGACTAAACCAGTAAATTAGGACATCTTAATGAATCTCCTCCAAGCTGGTTGGAATTGCCTATCCCCCTTTCTTCCATGCCCCTAGCTCTGTGGTTTGCTAACACTCTTAGTGGGGAGGAGTGTACAGCCAGCAGCAATACCCGTCATCTGTTCTGCTCTAAAACTTTGCTTGAGGCACATAATTCCCTCTCTGTTTTCTATTCCCCCAGCCCTGTTTTAGCCATGTATCAAAGCTCTACAGAAAGCACAAAATAGCTAGGGAATCTAGCTGTAGAAAATAGGAAGACTGTGATTAGGAGAATCTCTAATGCCCAGAGATTCACTCTTAAAATGCAAGCTTCATATGTCCCTATCTAATGTCTCACTAATGGCTCCTGCAGAGTATAAGGACAGACTTCCCTCCTTAATACAAACATACTTATTAAATATACTCTACTGGGCATAGCACAAACCCAATTAAGATAATACTTTTCTAACTCATATATCATCTCTCTGCCATAATACTCTCTTACTATCATAGTAGGCTTTGTGGGTTGAGAAAGTATTGTCAGGTTCATCATCATCAGCATCACCACTAACATTTACATAATTCTTTAAAGTTTGCAAATCATTTTATATACATTTGATCTTCACATCAACTCTGTAAGGGTAGATGCTATTATTATTTTCATTTTACAGATGGGGAAACTGAGGTTGACAGCAGGTAAGTGAGTTGTATAGGTTCATACAGCCAATAAGTAAGTGTCTGAGGCAGCCTCCAAACTCAGGTGTTCTTGACTCCAAGTCTAATGCTGTATCCATTGCATCCTCCAGCTGCCTAGATTAACTACCAACTACAAATAAGAAAGATTATTAGGGGGTTGCATCTCCATATCAAGAGGAAAGTACAGTAATCGTTATCAAAAGAAATGGCAAAAAATTTGCTGAACCCCAGTGATATATATGGTACCATGTCAGACCTAAAGGAGGCTATAAAAGTCCCTGCTATCATAGAGCTTAAAATCGAGAAGTTCATTGTCCTGAGGTGGTTAGATTTTTATACTGAATTCTACTGACTCTCTCTTGCACATTTTCTCAGATGCAAATTTTTTGGCTAGCCACTCCAGAAATCCAAATGTTTACTCAGGCCCTGTGAAAGCAGGAAGACAGATGTCTTCCCAGTGCTAGGACAGGTTCATACCATACTGATGACTAATAGATATAAATATAGGCATTTGTAAAAATAGGTATAAAGACTAATAGGTAATAGGTTATCACAGATGACAAGAATCATTTAATGGCACCTTCTGAAAGAAGCTGCTTTGTCTGGAAGCTCTTGGTCTCAGAGAATATCAGGCTAAGCTTGTTTTTCAAATGGGAGAATTTCAAGGACAAGAGCATGTTCAAAAAAGCTATAGAATGGACAAAAGACATGGTCTTTTGCCCCTCTAATTCATTAGTTTCTGAAGTTTTCCCTCATTTTTCCTGGACATCCATCCTCAGATTTCTTCACTATTCGGTGTATTTAATCCTAATTGTTCTTATTCTGCAGATATTCAAGTCAAATCAATAAGTATTTATAAAGCGCCTACTGTGTTCCAGCCAGGAAAGCCAAGTCTGCATTAGACATAGTCACATCATTTCCTACAGGTTATAATCACAGCCCAATGTTATTTTGTCTGGTGACTTTGATAGCCCATTAAACTTGGTAACACAGCCTTAGATAGAGCATGCTGCTGATGGTTAGGGCCATTTGTTCTCACTGTTTGGGCAGAGCTATCCCTAAAAATACTATTAAGTTAGGCTTTTACCCTAATTACATTTCTATTTTTTTTTGTCCTGATGAATTCTCCATGTGGGACAGTCAGGCAGCCTTGACTTCAGCTCTAACAGCTGCTAGTGTGTCTGTTGTGAACTAGACAGATATATATTTATATCCTAGCTATGCCAGGGTATATTAGCTTAACCAGCAAAGCATTTGTTTAAAGGCAAGCTGGCCTCTGTACTCTTGGAATAAAATGAAGAGTGATAATTTTTCATCTGTCTAAATTCTAAGTGAGCTATGTATTCCCTACACCTTGTTTCTCCCTGAAATTCAGACCTGTCTTTTTAATATCAGTGTTGTCATATGGTTGTGAGTCATGGAACACTGTAGTCTTCAGAGAATTAAAATTGGGTGTCACTAAGAAGGCACTGGAGAGGCACTTGGTGGGTGTGAGTGAACAGGCTGTAACACATAACAAATAAGTAACTGAAGAACTGGAGTAAAGGATGTGTTTAAAGAAACAAATAATAATGAGAGAAGATAATCTGGTTCTATGGAAAGAGCAAAGAATTGCTAGTGGGCAATCCTTGTGATGTCAAAGGAAAACAATCAAGGTCTCAACAATAGACCCCTGGGGAGAATGGGGACAAAAGGTTCCAAAATGAGCAGGCATAGGTGACCGACCTGTGATCTGCATCCATTCAAATATCCATGTGTTTTTTACCTTCCTTTATATTCCTAGCACTCAGTGGGGCATGTATTAGGTGCTTTATAAATGCTTTTTGATTGACTGATTGATGTATATCTACCTTTCCATTGAGACATCTCTCTCTCTCTCTCTCTCTCCATATCTATCTATCTATCTATCTATCTATCTATCTATCTATCTATCTATCTATCTATATGTACACACACACACACACACACACACACATACACACATAGGGGTGTATGTGTATACATTTTTTTGGTGTGTCTTAGATTCTGGGCTCCCAAAGGGTTTGATTGTACCCATTACTTACAAAGTTTTTTGGGAGGCCTTTTGCATTGATGATAATGATTGTGTCATCTGGGATGATTAAAAGACTTTATTTTCTTCACTGAATCAGTCACTCAAACTCAAAGTTAGTTGCTTGAAGAAGTGTGATAACTTTATTTCATTCCTAGTGTGCCATTTCATATTAATGTTCAGTCTAATTATGGTCAGCTCTATTAAGAAAATGGTGACATTGCTAAGTAAGTATAATTTAATCTTTCTTGAATTTTTAATGCGTATTACTATCTAGCATTGTCATGAACTTGAGTTGCCGTTGTATTGTAGGTATGTAGGAGCTAATAGAATTCCAACTGATAGAAAACTAAATTACAGAGAATTTGTGTTCTCATCCTAGTGTTTTGAAATAAACCATGGAATTTTATAAGCAACTACCTTATAATTTATAGGTAATGTCTTTTTTCCCCAATAGGCTTTGTCTCAGAGCTTTCCATCATGTAAGCCCTTAATTTTCTGCTAGCTTTGGAAAGATCTCAGGCTGGTATTTTCTTATGATCACTTTAGAAATGGTTGTTGAAGGCTACTTCACCCTTTTGAAAGAGAGAGAAAGCCCTATTAGGGGTCAACTAATTTCAAATAGCCCTTATTTTATTTTATTCTATTTAGATCTGAAGAAAACTCTTGCTGTCTTATTGGACAATATTTTGCAACGTATTGGCAAGTTGGAATCGAAGGTGGACAATCTTGTAATCAATGGCACTGGAGCAAATTCAACTAATACCACCACAACCGCTATTCCCAGCAGCATAGCAGCGTTTGAGAAAATTAGTGTAGCAGGTAAGTGTGGCCAAATGCTGTTTTAATGGGATGAGGTGGGGACAAATGAGGCATGTGAAGATGTAGGGATGAGATTCAGAATGCATGCCATCTTGGGGTGGGAGGAGGGGGGAGATGGGGTATAAATTTGGAATTCAAAAACTTGTGGGAGTGAATGTTGAAAGCTAAAAATAAATAAATTTATATTAAAAAAATGTAGGAATGAGGAAGTAGCACTTTGCACTATAAGGTTCTTAAATATTGGGAAGCTAAAGTTCAAACTTAGTTTGATGTTTGATGTTAAAAATAGCAAAAGTTTTTCATTTTGTTTTCATCTTCATGTGCTTTGTCCCTTCTAGTCTGTGTTCTCATTCTATGATGTTTGCTCTGTAATGAGTTCTGAAATGTCAGTTCTAATTGAGGAGGACAATAACACAAATAAATTGAGTACACAAATTGTCCAAAAATTTCATGTTAGCTCGATCTTTTTCCCTCCTCTTTTATGCCCAATCAGATATCTTTTATTTTTTTTTATAGTTTTTTTTTGGGCAATTGGGGTTAAGTGAGTTGCCCAGGGTCACACAGCTAGTAAGAGTTAAGTGTTTGGTCTGAGGCCGGATTTGAACTCAGGTCCTCCTGACTTCAGAGTTGGCGCTCTATCCACTGTGCCACCTAGCTGCCCCTAATCAGATCTCTTTTAAAAGTGCCTGACTTACAAAAATTGACTTTGAATTCTATTTGCCTGACTCCCTGGATGCTAGGTTAAAGTGCTATTAAGCAATCAATCAAAATATAGGAAAGAAATCCAACAAGAGATAAAATAGAAGAGAAAGAATAGTAATAAGTAGTTTATGAATCCCTTAATCATTCAAACCTGATCATAGAGAATCATAGAATCAGTACTGCTGCTGATCAATTCAACCTCTGCTTAAATACTTCCAGTGAAGGAGAAGATAGCCTATTCCATTTTTGGATACCTTTAATCATTAGAAAATTCTTCCTTTATATTGAATCAAAAGCTATTTGTAATTCTTCCCATTAGTTCTAGGTCTCCTTCTTCTTGAAACACAAAATAAACCTAATTTTTCTTCTCCTTAATGACCCATAAGTTATTTATAAATAGCTAATAACACCTCTCCTAGGCCTTTTCTTTAGGTTAAGAATCCCTATTTTTTTTTAAAGACTATCGGGGTTAAGTGATGTGCCCAGGGTCACATAGCTAATAAGTGTCTGAGGCCAGATTTGAATTCCGGTCTTCCTGATTCCAGGCCTGGTGCTCTATCCACTGTGCCACCTAGCTGCCCCCAGAATCCCTATCTTTTCTGAGTATGCATCTTGCCTTCCTGGTCATTATCCTCTGAACTTACTCCAGTGTTCCAAATTCCTTTTTAAATGTGTTGTCTACAACTGAGCTTAATATTCTAGATATGGTCTGACCATTGTAGAATACAATGAGATTGTCACTTCCCTTTGTTCTGGACAATATGCTTGTATTAACAGCCTAAAATCAAATGAGCTTCTATTAATGTAGTTTAAAATCAAATCCACTATTTTTGGAAAGTTGTAGTATACTTTTGACTCAATGAGATTATGACCCATTTAAAGCCTCTCAGCTTCTTTTTTAATGTGAACTCTGTCTAAGTAAGTTTCCATCCTATAATTCAGCAGATGATTTTTTGAAAACCCCTCAAAAACACAGGACACTACATTCACTTTGATTAAATTTCATCTTGCCAGATTTGACCCGTTGTTCTAAACTGTCAGATTCTTTTTGAATCCTGATTCTCACATCTTATCCAACTCTGTGCCATCTATAAGTTGGATATTCATGCCACCTATCTCTAATTCAAGTCACTCATAAAAATGTTGAATAGGACAGGGCTAAGGACAGAGACCTGGATGTTATTGCTAGAGATCTCCTTCCACAATGATGTGGCCCCATCCCTGATGTCAGCACCTTAAACAATCAAATAAATATATTTTCTTTTATCTTTTCTTAAGGTGCTGGATTTTGAAATAAATGGGAGTTAATTTTAGGCAAAAAGGCACTGGGAGATTTTGTTGTTGTTGTTGTTTTTAAAGAACAGACACTTTATATATATTCTTGAGGATAGGATCACAGTTTCCCTATTGTGACTGTCTCTTCCAGCTCATGGTGATGCTCTAGGGCTCACATTTACTTTTGTGGCCATCATAGGAGGCTAAGAGAGTGTGAGGAAAGCAAGTCAGATCCAAACCTTTTCCCCTAACTCCAGAGTTCAGTGCATTGAGTAATTATAGTAATGTGCATATAACTGTCCTGGGTGTAAGAAAACCTTGAGTGAGGATAGTTTCATTTAGTTACATGTTATTGTTGCTTTTTCAAAAGTGTATGTTTTTCAAAGCCACTTTTTTAAAAATGTCATGAATTCTGCATAGATTTTGGTGAAACACTTTCCCCCACACTGCTGTTTTTCAGCTCCCTCCCCCAAAATGTCAAAACACTTGTCTTATACTTTATGCAGCCCTATATTGTGGGCTTCTCATAATATTCTTTGCCTTTTTGCAAATTGTAAATTTAAATATATATTTCCAATAATCTAAGTATCCCACTAAACAAAGGTATTAAAAATAACTTTTAATTACAACACAGAGACAATGTCATCTAGGACATAAATCCTTTCTTCCCTGCGGTTTCTAACAACTTCTGTAATTAGACAAGGAAACCTCCCACTGCGTTGAGCTGTTTATTAAAATATGTAACACTCCCTCATCTGCCCCTCCTCCTGCAATGGAAAATATTGTCAGGAAGGCCCTCGGCTTCATCAGAGCTCTCTTCTTTGAGAGCTACTGCTCTTAGCCTATCTGTGGTCCCTGTATCAGTGTTTTAGAATTATGGCTTTCTGATAGCTATGCATCATTATTTTTGATAGTGATGATTTTCAAAGATCTTCACAAGATTGGTTTCTGGAGTCATTGGGCAGAAGAAGTAGAATACAATACTAATGGGAAGGAAACTCATTTTTGGATGATCCCTTCACAATGACTCACACTTTTTAATCCATCAACGGATATTTGCTGAGTGCCTTCTGGGTACACATAGGCAGGCTAATGGCATTAGAAAAGAGATAAAAAGAAGCATATGATATGCTTCTTTACCTGAAAAAGTTTATGATCTATTTAGAGAAACAAAACATAATGCGATTAAAAGACAACTAATTATATGAGGAACTCCATAGTTTATGGTAAAGTCTAAATGAATGTCAGAGAAGAGAAGGAATTAAAAAGAATGAGATCATTTTGGGCTAAAGAAGTATGGGAAGATTTCATAAAGGAGGTGAGATTTAGGTTGGATATTGAAGCATGGGTGGGATTTTTAAGTAAGTGGAGAGCAAAGAGATAAGGGGACAGAGCATCTTAGGTCTGTGTTGTACATTGGAATACACAGGATGTGTTTACCAAGGTCAGTGAGTCAGTCAGTCTGGCAGGAGCAGAAGATGAGCATGGTGTGAGAAAAGGTTGGTTAGGAAGGGAAATTAAATCCAGATTATGGAAAGTCTCAAATGTTCAGTTGTCCAAGGCATACAGACTAGATAAGGGAAGTAAAACTGGTGAAGAGAGAGACTGGTAAGGAAACAGCTGCTCTTTCATTCGCCATATTACTGCCATAGATTGCCTTCAAGAGCTAGAACTGGAAGTGACTGTAACAAGACAGCAGGTCTTGCTGTGGGCTGTTATTTTTATATTTGTAAAGTCTTAAAATGCTACCAAATTTTTGAAGATACCAAGAAATGATATTCAAACATGTCCTTTGATATCCAAAAATCCTTCTGATAAGAAGTTCCCTTTTATTCAAGTCTGTCCTGCTTCCATTTGAAAAGCCACTTCCAAAAATTTAGAGCTCAAAAAATCTTATAAAAGTGAATGTTGAAAAACTAAAAATAAAGTATTTTGAAAAGCCACTTGCTCCTATTCTTTCTTTTTGACAAGATAGAGAAAAGTAAACCCTTCCCTTTGTATTAAAATTGTATTGAATAAAGTAGGTAGATAAAATAAAGTGCGTAGATGAGTGTTTGTTTTCAATATCTTGGCCACAGTGATTATAAACTAGGGACAGAAATGGTCGCCTTACAAATGTTGAATTGAATTTTGTTTCATTGAATTAGAAAAGGCCCTAATTAGCCCGTCAAATGTTAAGGGTATTTATTTATTAAATAAGTGCCTTGACTGTGCCATGTGTTATTAGTGTACACAAAACCCATCTTAACAATAAAAACAACACAAATACCCCCTGATGTCTTATTACAGAATGGACCCTTGGTTCTCAAAAATGTATGCCAGGGCTGGCTCTGTTAGGTTCAGACAAACTAGGAGCAGCCTAGCTAATTTCAGAGAGGTCCATTTCCAGGACAGCCATGTAAAGATGACTGGGGTGGGGAGGGCTGCAGTAGCTATCAGAGAGGAACTGTGACCTGCATCACAGATGGCAACATTCACACTTCAATGATCACTGATCTTGTAAATAGAATAGCAATGTTGGATTTTTTCAGTGCATTAGGGTTTACTGAGTCCTTAACATCTCTCTGCTATGCCTCTGAGACATTTTACAAATGAGAAAACTGAGGCTCAGAAAGATAAATCGACTGGTCCCAAATCATACACTAAGAGTTAGAGGTGGAATTTGAATCCAGGTCTTCCTGATTCCCAAGAGCAGCCCTCCTTCTATTCTGACACATTGCCTCCTGTTTTTCTGGTTTTGTGGCTTTTTTTTTCTCATGAGGTATTTATGATTTAGTTTAACCTCACTGATGTATGTCAGTGGTTCTCAAACTATTGCAAAGATGTGGCAAACATTGCTCTTGAGGTGAGGGAATCCATTTTTTTAAAACAGGATTACTATATTCGTTGAGTGAAGTTTCTCCTCTTCTTCCTTCTCTGCATTAAGACATGTGGTAATTGCTCGGAAATGTACTTCCTGGTGTGTCTTATTGCATACTCTGGTGTCTTATTGCTCACTGATGTTTCTTATTGCTTACTGTTGT